AGAGAGATTTTGAGCACCATAGTTTTAATCAGTCAGTACCAATTTGATAGTGAGTACATGAGGAGCCCATTTTTCTGATCTGTGTTGCTCCACTAGGATAATGGGCTTAAGCTTAATCCAGGATAGTATAAGCAGTGCTAGCTCGCTGTCTATTTCTTAGAATTGAGTAATATTCCACTGTGAACATATACCAAATTTAATTATCCACTCATGAATTGACGGGCACTTGGGTTTTTCGATGTTCTTACAATATGATTTGTGCTACCATAAACATTCAGGTGCAGATGTCTTTATAGTAGAATGTCTTATGCTCTTTTGGGTAGATGCCTAACAGTGCTATTGCTGGTGGGTAGAGGCCTAACAATGTATTGCTGGTCGAATGGTATTTCTATTTGAGCTGTTTGAGGTATCTCCAAATTCTTTCCACAAAGGTTGCACTAATTTGCAGTTCCATTAACAGTGTAAGAGTGTTCCTGTCTCTCTACATCCTTGCCAGCATTTGTTGTTTGGGATTTCTTGATACAAGGACATTCTCCCTGGGGTACATGGTATCACCTTATGTTTTTTTTTTTTTTTTTTGGCTTTTTGGTTTTTATTCAGCAAACCATACATATATTTTCAAAACATAAAATCATTCAGCAAAAAACAACAAACAATGACACAAAAAGCAGCAAAATGCCACAAAGCAAACCAACACAGCTAACTTTCCCTGCTAACATATTTTGTCTTTTAATTTTGGCATGTAGACGGTCACAGAAAGTCACAGACTTACAATATATGCACGCTCAAAGATTCTAAGGGCTTATTAGGAAGTTATCTTTATTTAAATAAAGAATTTGAGTTATAAAACTGAATGGCTTATAGAATGCAGCTTACTAAAGTCTTTGTTCTTACAAACTAGAGGCATCTCATCCTTTGAGAGCTGAAAATATATATAATCTCTATTTCTTGCGGTTGGCAGCCACAGTCACTTTTCACCCGTTGGCAGGACTGCCGGAGTGCTCACGCTCCTCAGCCGGTGTGCTGCTCCCCTGCTGGCTTGGAATAGCAGGAAGCACTCTGTTTGTCCGTAGAGGTTCTCCAGAGAGAAATTTTTGGTCTGGTAGGGGAGCTAGGTTGTTCCGAGTGAAAGGAAGATCCCCTGATTTTGGGTCTGTTTGGGGAAAGATGATAAAATTTGTCCTGATGATGGATATGTAGATGAGGAAGGTGTGGTGCACCAAGACTTCCTGGTGACCAGGCCGGCCAGCGAGTAACCTGTCTAGCAGCTTATCAGAAGAAGACACAGTCCAAGATTTGTAGGAGAACACCTGATTAGGATCACATCCAGTGGTTCTCTAGCAACACTTGGCAGCCAGTTCTGTTATTTAATAAATCCTGCTCACTTCGGCTTTTCTGAGATTGCTGTGCGGTAGGGTGAGGACCAGAGCTCAGGCCTGCGTGGGAAGTGGCCCGTGGGAGGCTGTCAGGAAGTTAGCCCAGGGTGATGGTGGGAGACTCTGCGTTCTGATTGGTGAAGCCCCTTAGGGCCAGCGGTTCTTTTCTGGCAAGAGATATTTTGAATCTCTGAGGTCCTCTTCTTAAATTCAACCATAGCCACCTGTTCACCAGGCTGTTCTTGGCAGTTGGTACCCACGATGCTGTCAAAGGTAGTGATGATGTCATCAACTTCCGAGGTGTCGTCCCCTGTGTCGGTCCAGCTGTGATCCTTCTGATGGGTCTTTGCTCTTCTTTCTTGTTTTTGCAGAAGATTTGGTTGAGCACGCTGAACCGTCCCTCCTTCTTCTGGGGTCGACTGTTCTGGGAGGGAAGGGGTCGAGCAGGCGGTACTCTGCTCTCTTGGGAGAGGAGTTGACACACGCCGTGTGCCCGCAATACAGGGCGTAGGCAGTGGCGTGCTCTCATTGATGTCCCGCAGGTTGCTGTCCATGCCAAACTCCAGCAGTGACTGTACACATTCTTCCTTCCCTGCAGCTGCAGCCCAGTGCAGAGGGGTCCTGTCATCCACATCCAGAGCCTGGAGGTTACACTCGGAACTCTTGCCAGTTCGTTAATAATGTCGCTGAAACCCGCTGCTGCCGCGATGTGCACGCACGTCTTCCCACTCTCATCGTCATAGTTGATTATGGACGGCCCCTGGTGATGGCTCAGAATGACGGAACACAGAATTCTATTTCCACTCTGGACTGCCCAGTGGAGAGCCGTTTTAAAGTCTTTATCCACAAGGGTGGGGTCTGCTCCCTTCTTCAACAGCACTTGGGCGTGTTGAGGCTGGTTGTGGAAAGCTGCCCAGTGGAGTGGTGTCATTCCCTCACTGTCCTGGTGATTAACCTCACTGAGGCTCGACTGTTGCAACAGGACTGTCAGAAGCCTCACGTCGGGCTCAGCAGTGGCAGCATGCAGTGGCAGACGGCCATTTTTATCTGGGATATTGTGCTTGGCACCATTTCTGAGTAGACTCACAAATCCTTCGAGCCAACCCAAGTAGGTGGCCAGGCATAAACTCGTGCGGCCGTAAGCATCCTGCATGTTGATATTGGCTCCCATCTTCAGCAGCAGCTTCACTGTGTCCACTTGCCGTCCAGAAACCGCATGCATCAAGGGTGTACATCCTTCACTGTCACAGCATTCTAGGATGGCAGGGTCTTCCCGAATCACTGCAGTCAGAGCATTGACATCTCCATTAGATGCTGCCTGATAAACCATAGTCAGGTCGACTTCCTCAGATGAGTCACCTCTGCATCTTGTCCCACTAGAAGGTCTTCAGGGGCAAAAGCAGCCATGGAGCTGTCATCTCTTATGATAACAATGCCTCCTTCTGGAACACCTCCTGATGGACCTGCCTGGGGTCCTTTTACAGTTAGCTTTTTTTTTCCTCCCAAAGTTACACAGGTAGTAAGTGGTGAAACGCAGGTAAGGCTGCAGGCCGTCAGGCCTACATTCTAACCCTTGGGTCCATGCGCACTGTGGTCTGGAGGTCCCCTGTCACTCAGAGGCAAAGTCCTCGTATGTTCCAGTGAACTTACGACCTTTCTTTGGTGCTGGGTGGACATTCCACACTTCCACATTCCATTCTTTCTTACTCACAGCAGCTTGTACACCACGCTCCTCCCTGTTGCACAAGCTGTGTGGCTCAGTGTTTTGCCTGACACATCATTGTGCTAGAGTTTATACTGACTCTTTGCTGATCAAACACAGATGGGGTGCTGAAATCCATTGTTGTCTGTCTCATCATTTATCATCAGACTGGCAAAAAGCATCCAGGTCTCTTGGATCTGGGCTGGGAACACAGAGCAGGTCACCGAGCTTCTGCAGCTGGAATGTCGCTTTAAACCAACAGAAACCTCAATGGGTGAGTGAGGATTCACGGGCCAGACAGAGCATGTGCAGAGCTGCCAATGCAGTTTGCATTCAGCTGTGCTCTTGGTGGAGTGAGAGCCGCATTTGGGTCATGTGAGCAGACAGTGCCATCTCAATGGAACAGGACGTAAATATTGTAGCAGGAGGCTGCTGGCCACGTGCTGTGCGGAGTAATTATCCACTTCCGCAGTCTCCTCTTCTTCAGACCCCTTCAGCTCCCTTCTCCGACTGACAGGGAGGTTGGGGGAAAACATCTCTCATTTGAAAGGTTACATTTCAAGGCTCAAGTATTTGTGATGATAAAATTAAAACAGTCTGCAGTCACAGGGTGTTTATTGGAGTGTTATATGTGGTGAAACCTAAAAAAATCACCTAAATGTACAACATTTGAGGAGCAGTTGAATAGTAGTAAATTCATCCTCTAGGTTAAAAAATCAGAGATATATAAATCTATGAGTATTATTCTGGTGGAATGCCACTAATCTATTGTTAAATGAAACAAGTTATATATTTTATTGGTTCACATTTTTATAAAACCAGCATCTACCCACTACATATGTAAATATAATATGTTTATACATGTTCAAAGGAACCTTGAAAAAGATGCAGGAAGATACATACTAACCTGTTAATATTGGCTACCTCAGGGAATTGCAATTAAAGTGAGAAATTTCTAACTGTTCTTTATCAATTTCTCTGTTTTGGCTTATAATAGTTGTCTATTATTTTATCTTTGTGATAAAAATATGATATAATAAATTCAAACAAAGCTCTACATTCTAGATATGATCAAATGTTTGGATAAACCAGGCAGCCATGTAGTAGATGTTCTCATAAATGCTGTTGATAATAATAATAACTGTTTTCTTTTTTAACTTAATAGCGTGCGATGTGGAAATAAAAGCAAAAATAATTTTTCTCTGTATATGACCACATTTGTTTTGATATGCACTGATCTAATGTATAATTTGTGGTTTTGATAGGCTCCTTCCTTATCTCTTGCCTCATATTTCCTCAGTGCCCATCATTTATTTTCCATCAACAAATTGGTGGGCCTCCCTCCTCTGTGACAATACTGCTGCTCACTCAAAATGCCACTACCTACCGTCCCTTCCCACATCAGCCCTTCTCCTCAAAATACCCTGTGTTCTTTTTATTTAAAAACAAAAGCAGAACATATATCTTACAAATCATTACTCAAAATGTGCTCCATAGGTAAATTTCTTAAATTTCCCAACCCCATTTCTTGTGTTAATCATGAGCACCAAGTGGGGGCACTGAGAGTGGTTTGAAGAGGAAGCTGAGACACTAAATAATCCTCAGTGCTTAAGGTTTCAATAAATGCCCATTCCCCCCCTCCCCCCAAAAGTCTGAGTCTCCATCATGACCATCCCCCAGATGGTGCACATCTCACTCTTTATGTATGTATATACCCGCCCCCTCCCCCCTCCCCCCTACCCAATACCCTATTACTGTAGCACCTATGTGTCCACTTAGGTGCTACTCAGTTAATACCAGTTTGCTGGAGAATATATCTGGTGCTTGTTTTTCC